AACTATATACAGTAGTAATATAATAAGAATTAAATTTCATTCAATTATGAAAAGTGAAATACAAGATTTCCTTTTTTGAACTCGCTTGCTAAGACGCCCGTGTGCCGCACGATTTGTTTATTGGGTTGTGCATAACCGGTTCTCTAGCTCTCTCTCTCGTGCTATTTCGCCGCAGCGAAACGTCATTTTCGTCGGCATTTTCAACAGCGCCATTGTCTGCAGAGTTTCAGTTCGCGCTGAGCATTCGAGGCAGTCGGTTCGTTCGGCACGTTGCGTCTAGATCGAGATTTCATCCGATTTGTGTGTGCGTTATGCGCCTCTGTATTATTGGCACTGGCATCTGTTGGATTGCTCTGTAAATTGGCCATGTGAGAGGGCGAAGCATCTTACGCTACGAAACTTGTCTCCATGGTAACCGTCGCGGCAGCATTCAACAGTTTGATAAATTCATATATTATTTATACACAAACACACATATGAACAGGCCGATCTATTTATGTTTATATTACTGCAGAGATAATGTAGTATGTGCAAAAGGTTTACGCGCTGATTACGCGAATTGCAAGTGACAGCCCCGCCCCTACCCGAATATGAAGTGTAAAAGAAATTGCGAAAAGTTTACTGCAAAATGATATGAAAATCGTTTAGCGATCTTCTCTACACTGTTGCGAGTGCATTTATGTTTATGAATTTAAAATTAAATTTTATATATGCTTATAACGGCGCTTTCGTTTACACGTTCAGGTTCTTGGCGCTGTTGTTGTTGTTGTTGCTGCTGTTGTTGTAATTTATCTATAAGTGCAGATGTTCCCCATCACAGTTGAAGTTGTTGTTGCCTGCCTCTTGCCTGTGGCAGTGGAAGCGGCAGCGGCTGTGGCAGTGGCTGTCTAACCCGTTTATGTTTTAGTTGACTTGGTAAACTCCAATATAGACGAACAACGAAACACGCACAGACAAACAATACGTCAAACTGTTGCCGTTGTTGTTGCTGGGGTTCTGGCGCAGTTCTGTGGCATAGCGCTGTATCAGTGCCAGTATCTGTGTATCCGTAAGATACACGTACTTGTGCTGCACTCGCCGTCGCCGTCGGCGTCGCTGGCGTCGCGCCGCTTCCTTATTGACGGCACCGCGACTGGGCCAATGTTTATTTTTGTTTGCTTGCCCGCGAGCGGGAAAAACAAGTTTACTTGCCGACGAAAAAGAGTAACAATTATCGAAGAAACGCAGTTTGGAAAATCTTCAAAGAGGCTCAACTCCACGAAAAACAGACGGACACGAGACAGACAAAAAGAGCACCAAAAACTGAAATGAAATGTCATTTAATCATGTTAATTTATGGTCTGTCCAAAAATAAACATTCCGCTAATTAGCCAAAAGTGTTAACAATTATTTTTGGCTCTTTGCTGCCAGAGGCAGGTTTTTTTTATTTTATTTCTGAAGTCGTTATTCAAATGTCGTCTCGTGTATTTAGCAAATGTCGCAGCAAGTGCAACCAACAACAACAACAA